ATATTTGATTTTCTTTAAAATCTAATAGTTATGAATTTCTGAACAGTTAAAACTTAATAAAGTGCTTTAATTTAGATGTATCTACATTTTGTGGAAATGTGCTGAATTTGTTACTAACACATATATTCATATAAGCACAGGTCTTTTTTCAATAGGTAACTCCCTAGTGAGTAGTTGGTAGCTTCATACAATACTTGTATAAAATGTTCGGTTTAAAAAAATATTACAATGTAGATTATTATTAAATATCTAAATACTAAATCATATTCTTTTCTTCAAAAGTTATCTCAGCTTTTTTTAACACTGAAAATGATGACATAGTCATTTTTACGCAAATATTTAAATATTTTGAATTTTATAGAATAATATTTGTATTTGTACTTTTATATATCATTTTGAGATACATATTATGAAATATTTTGATAAGTTTTAATATTATTCAGGAAAGATTAAAAAAAATATATGTACCATGTACATTTTTAAGTGTGGAACTGTAGAATATTACAAACTTTTGTTTTTAAATTGAGAACACCCTCTTTCGATTGTTAAGTATTCAGTGGATTATTTTTCTGAAAATGTTCAAAATCAAAATTCCTACAAGTAGTTTTTGAGTTATTTAAATTCGGGTCTTAAGGATAAATAAATTAAGGTCAATGGAAATGAATTTATCATATATGTTGCTGTGGTAATTTGAAAATTTTAGCCATCAATATAAATAGTTTGTATAAATGGCCCAAGTATAATGAATACTTGATCGAATTTTATCTTTTATTTTATATTTTTGTAAAATCATTCTTAGGGACTATTGTCCTTAATACAAACATTTTATTAACTAAGAAACTACCTACTCTTTCAAATTTTTAATTAGGTACATAATAATTTTAAATTGTATAGATTAAATAATTTACAGTAAAAAGGGCGGGGTTTTCATTTGAAAAACAAAAGTTTGTACAAAACCCTTCTTAAGTATTACAAACAAATTCATGAATTTGAATAAATTCATAATTAAAGGAAAATTGGGTATGTGCATGTTTGGTGAATCACCTTGTATATATGTTTTTAAATATTAAAGATTGACAATAGTATACTTGACTTATATCAATTAATTATTAAATAACATAATTTAAAAATGTCCATCTATTTATTTAGAATCTAAAAAAATTCTAAAAATTCATAGTGATAATGTTGTTTTTATTAAATTAAACATGAAGTTTTGGATCTTTAGCTTTAATTAGTAGGTAAATTAATAATTTAACCAGAATAATGCTTTATTTTATTTTGTTATATACTCTTGAAACATCTAGAGAAAATCTAAATTTATTTGCTGATCGTGTATTTACGTATATCATATTGAAGATTTGAACTAATTATTTTTTCAACTATAATATTTACAATTATATTTATGTACAATAAAGACCTAAATATACACCTTGTATAAGTAGGTATAGGCTAGAGAAATTACATCACGTTTCCCGTAGATTGGATTGGCAAAATATCGCCTTCATCCCGTCGTTCTCTAAGCTGTTTGTGAGTAATGTAGAAACGGGTAATGTCCCTGTAATGCTTTCCAAAACTTAGCAAACAGTTGAACATTTGTACCTAATAGAAATATTCAATTTTATTGTCCTAGATGTAGGTTCTTACTTAGAACGTGGTTACTGTTAAATATGATAATATTTTTGTATGGAATATTATGTAATATTAATATACTTGTTTATATACTTTACTTCATATACGTATTATAAATCTTTAAACTTAATGTTTGAGTTGTATAATTTGTGTATGTTATCATTTATGTCTAGTATGAAATTGAAATATTCAAAAACAAAAACTTAAAAAATCAAATTAAATCACAAAGTCAAAGAAAGACATACATAAGTATTATACTGCTTCTTCCGAAACGGATTGTTAAAATTAAATGTATATAAATTGATTTTTAGTTGAAATATTTTAATTAAATTACAATAGTAAAAAGTTTAAAATAAAATATTTATTTAACTGTCTAGAATAGTAAACAGTTTGGGTAACCTTTCGGAAAAGATTTTAGCATTTAAAATATGGTTATTTATTTACTTATTAAATGAAACAGAATTCCAAGCATGTTTCTAGAAAATTATTATGATGTAACATAAAATATGTTTTATTTTTCAAATTTCAATGAAATTAGTATAAATATGATTCACAATTAATACATGACTTGAGTATTTCAATTATCTATTAAGAAATGCGATAGTTTGTATGTTAACATTATTTATTAGGTTCATGGATAAATGAGGCGATTGAAAATTATGTGTTTAGCTTATATAATTAAAATATAATTTCTTTGAACACGCAATATAATATGTTCGTAAAAGTTATAGTTTCGCAATATTTGGTCAGGGAAGAAACCCTGAAAAGTCTGAAGGTTGTTATATTTCTTTTATCCATTAATAAGTATTACTGGTTTTAGCTCCGTAAGGGGCTCTTAGAGTGGTATAAACGTCCGAAATAGGCTGCAGTTATATGCGGACGTGCTGCGGGTGGGTTCAAAGCCAAGCGTGTACCTCACTCACCCTTTCCGCCATTGCACGTTAGGGCTTGAGGCGCCCATAATTCAATTTCGGATCCAAACGAACAAATTTAATTTGGGATGTTTTGGGAACAATTCGGCAGTAAACTAGTATGGAAGCCCTGAAGGCCGAACAAGCTAACCTTTAAAAACCGAACAATTCCCAGACATATCTGATTAATGTTTTTCCTCGCTTTTTCCCCATCCTAATACTATTTTCTTGAGAATCGTAGATACGTACACCTCGTATTAACTGAATTATACTGTGCCCTTATTTACCGCTATGTTTATGATTCGAAACGTGTAGTATGTCATACAATTAGAGGGCCTTTACTTATGGTAAAAACGTGATCAGAAATTAGTTGTATCAATGTGCAAGGTATTATTAAATGAAAAGATAATAGTGTCAGTAGACTAAGCCACACAATAATATACGTCTATACTTCATATATTATAAAAGTGGAGGTAAACATTTTCCCATGAGTTAATTGATGATGAAAAACACATCATATTAAATTATTTTCGACATTTGGGGTTTGCTTTGAAAGAAAAAGGTCCATGATTTTGAAAAAGATTAAAAAAAAGGAGAAGAAAACTAAAATAAATAAAAAACGGTTATAGACCTCTTGGGATTTAAGAGGCTCGTCCAAAGGAGAATATATACTTTGGGAACTTTAAGGCTGTTTATTAAAGGTAAATGAACAGCCGTTTATTTTATGGTTTCTGGGTGACATTAGCATAATGATTCCCGCGATAGTGCGAAACAAAATAAAAAAACAGGCAACGTAGAAAGTAACAAAAAAGTGTTTAAATCCCAGGAATATGCTAAGAAATTCTGTAGGAAAAACAGTACTTAGAATATGCGCTAGGGAGTACTTCAGAACAATGAGGATAATTCTTGGATTAAAAAAAATGTATAATTTATTTTGACAAATATAAAGTTTTCTCATTAAATGCTAAAAGATAGATGTCATATGCAAATATTTAAAAATTAAAATCACTAATGGGTTATCATGATATTTGGTTCATTATATTCCTAATTCGATAGTTAATAAGTACCTAGCGCCTAGCGGTACCAGTGGTGATACACTGATACCTATATAGGAATAGAACATTATATTTACAACATATTGTACATTAAGCTTATTCCATATTTGCAAACATTATAATATTAATTATTATGAAACTTTTTTTCAAAATGTTATATCTAATAATCTAATGTATATTATTAATTTAGCAAAGCATTTAGTTAAATATCTTATAAATATAGTCAGCTTTTATTTTTTGGTTTTTATCTATTTTCACTACTCCACACAGTAACTCTTCACTTAGTTATATTTATGAATTACATTTTTGTATTTTGTTACAACAATATCGTTGTTGCCTAGTACTCATGCGCCTGATAACTGGTATGTATTATACTATGTAATTTTATAAATATACGCATGGTAAACTCTAATGGCCATAATTCAAAATTTTAAGTCTCAATTCAAAATATTGACGAAATAAAAAATAAAGAAAATGTGATGTTTTGATGAGATAATATAGTAGGTACAATATAGGACTATTAAGTGTCGAGTTTTTTCTCTATTCTCGTTAAAGTTCTCATAGTAGCAGCTTTGTAACATGATATCCTCGTGCGTGTTTAATATCGCAACTGTTATCTCGTAAATTCCATCACCGTCGCCGCTGTCTCCCCAACAAGTTTGCAAACACACTTAATTAAAATTATCTACACACAAATGCTGCATCCCGCTGATTAACATCATTATTTCCATAAATAACCGCATTATATTATTATATATAATATATAAACGTAGACATATAATACGTAAATACGACTTTAATGTGAGGATGTTATTATAATTATTTTATACATTATATTGCGGCCAATACGTACATTTTTTTTGTGTGTTTTAGTGGAAACCGGTAAAATTTTTCTTGACTTCCGGGTAACTTCGCTGTTTTTTTTTATCATTGTTACTATTGTACGCCCTCTAATATTATTATCGTACACACGGTTTTGAGGTAAGCGTGGGTGGCGAGGGAATTTTCACCGGGATAATTCATTGTCGTTTGATTAAACACCGCGGCCGCCACAAAGGATATCCAACGGGTCTTTATCGGGCCCCCACGTCTCGGCGTGCGTTGACTGGTCCTGAGTCTCAATTTTAACGACCTCGCGGTGGCAAAGGTGTGGAAAAGCCGGTCGGCAGGGGTGTCCGGGTGTGATTAAATAAACCGGTAATTGGTCGGGAAAACGTGAGGGACGCGCGTCGTATTTGGCCCCACCCCTCGCCACTACCCTCGGACGGGACTCAGACGGGGTGAGAATAACTGTATATACGTTTTTCCCATTTTTCGCGCGAGACCGGAAAATACGATTTTTCGTACCATCACCGTGCGCGGCGCCGCGTCGGCCAAGAGGCGCGTGCCGAACATCATCGCCCAGTACCGAAATCTCCGCGCCGGCTGCTAGTGTGCTAACGGACACCCTGCGGGAAACATCGTCGCCGCCGCCAATCCCGTGCGCGTGTAGCATTACCGACGTGCGTATTTACGCGATTGACGACGAAATCTCACCCCATAATGTCTATATTATACTCCTTGGTGCTGCTGTGGTGAAACATTATTTTTGAGTTTTTTTCTTCTAATATTTTCGTCTGGTTGATCGCCGTTAAAATACGACTTTATTTTTAACAGGTACTTGTATATATTATAATACAATATTCAGCATTATGCGTTATTTACCAGACTCTATTATAGTTCAGAAAAAATGTGTGTTTTGTTTTAGGATATTCTAACTGAGCAAAAATATTTTTTTTAACACGTCTTTCGAATCAATTTCTCCTTTTTTTTTACACTAAAGTATATGTTTGCAAGATAATGTAAAAATAATTTTTTTTCATACTCAATATTATAGAAATTTACGAATCGTATGTATTTTGTGGATTTGCATTAAAAAATTATATGTTTTTGTATTCATTAAGTTCTTATCATAACCGTTGATTTGGAACTAATATTAAACTCAATTTTTGTTAAGTATAAACTGTGTTATAATTCACAATCTATATAAAGGGTTGATACTTGATTTACATACAATTTTTCATCCCTGTCTAAAAATCAAGCTCGAGTCCTCAGTTTTAACGTTGAAACCACAAGTTTTCAACAAATTTTTCACAAATTTCTGCGCAATTAAAACAATTGAATATTTTAAACTGATTTCGGTTGTTTAAGAATCTTAATATCTTTATAAATACATGCATTTATTAGTACCTACTTAGTAATTATATGGACGATTTAAAGTTATGTTCATCCAGCCATCCAGAATTCTGGAGGTATCATTGTCTTAATAGTATGTAACATAGGTACATTTTAATTAACATGCGATTCATTAAATATTCTACGAGGTATATATTATAGTAGCTATTAGCCACCATTAATCATGTATACATTTATAATTTATAATTGTTTACCGTTTTAGTAATGTCAGTTTAGACGTTATTTATTAATTAATTGTTGTTTTAAACATCTCGAAAGAAAATTATGTGTAGGTATTTCTATGATTATAGTGGGAAAAAACGATATTTAGAATATAATAATTAATAAAATAACAGTTTAATGTTTTTTTTTATAATTTTAAAGCTTTTATTAGAATTTATTTAGAGGGTACAAAAATAATGGCATTGAGGGGTGAAATTACATATACATATTACTTCGACGAAATAAAAATTGAACCATTCAAAGATGTTTCAATACATTATTATATGGTTCTTAAATGATTAATGATTACCCATAAAAGATGATAATCATTTATATGTTCCTGTATTAATAATGAAATTTGTTTAAAATCATTTACTTATTACATTTAATAGTAGTTACCTAATACGGTTATTCTTTTTTTTATTATAAAATTCGGGTTCTGTTTGTCTTATGTTTTAAAATATGTATTTAATAGGCATATTTTTATATTTTTCAGCAGTATCAGTTTTTTCTCGATGCAATCGTTGATGATTTACTGGAAATGGAAACGCTGCAGGTCAATAACACAGGCCGGAACCTGATGGTTTGTTTTTGTCTTCTGATCACAAGTAAGTGTATCAAATTTAAAATTTTTATAGTAAACATTTTTTCATGCACACTAGGTATTTTCCAAAAATATTATATTATATTGTATATTTAGTTGTCAGTTGGTACCTATATACTCGTACTAACTGGATACCTACTCGCATAATCCTATTCAAAATATACGAAAAATATGACTGACAGCTAATGTCGCGTGATTTATAAATCTGTTTTAATTTTCTTTATAAATGAAAATTGAACTTCCACAAATTTAAGCTACTTCACAATGACCTTTAGAATTATATTTATTCTCCACACATCAAAAATGACATGCATTATTGTAGTTAAAGAATATTTTTAGATCAAAGAGCAGGTTTTAGTGTCTTATACCACGTGTAACCGACGAGTAGATGAATGTTTTAGGTATTTTACTGTTATCATATAGTATAATATAGTATAATATTTACTTAGATATTAATGGTATTATATAATAAAATAATATTAAATAACAATATTATGATAACTATTGTACGTACCTGAAATATGAAAAAAATTTTAAAGCAGATTCCCCATAGTCCCCTATATTATTAAAATATATGTAATTCATTCGCCGTTTAAATTGTTATTATTTGTGCCTTGTGGTTCATATCGTGCTTATTCGACACGTTACCACAGTAACCAAACTTAAAAGTTTTCAACTTTTGGCCACGTGGTTGACGATTTTTATAATGAATGTACATACGTATATAGCAACAATGAGATTTTGATAACACCTGACCATGTTGATGAAACGCATAAAGAACGCAGTGAAACGCTATAAGCCTATAAATATAAGGTGTTTCATTTAAGTGCTTAACTCATTATTTTGAAAAATCACCATGAAGATACAAATTTAATAGACTACATAACACTAGACCTAGTTTAATTCTTTAATTGATCAGAAATAATTTAGTAGTACATTTTAATACACTCAAATGTAAAATTATGTAAGGATAACAAAAATTAAATTGGTCGAACAGCATTATATTTTTAATTACCTAAATTTTTTAATATCATACAAAATTATTAATGTAGAATATAATATTTATTATATAAAACAATAAATTGTTAATGGATTGACGGGTGTAAATGTTTAATTAGGCACTTATATAACAATTGTATATAGTTTTCAAATTTAAAGATTTATGATATTGTGTTTTGTGATTCACTATTTAGTATTTAAACAGCCAGATTATATGTTAATATTGGTGCAATATTTATGAAACGGTGTATTTATTTATTCCACTTCGTAATACTTAATATAAATGGTAATATATAATATTATGGTAATATGTAATATTATTTTTCAAATAACACAAATTATCAGATTTGATTTATATAAACGTAAAAAAAAATTATTGGTAATTAGAATGAAAGGCTACTTAATTTTCTTTTTATTAAACAAATATTTAAGATTAAAATATACTGCAAAAAACTGTTAGTATAAAATGATTTCCATATTGTATTGGGACTAAAGCTTTATTCTTATAATATTTAGTTATGCATTTTGTAATCACTATTTGTTTGTGTTTCACGTGTCGTATTTAGGAAATACACAAATGAATAATATTTTGAACAATTATGATGATATAGTATATAATGTATATCAATATAATATGTAGTTGTTATTATTTAATATATTGTAAACAAATAAAAAATAAAATTATAATTCATAGTTTTAGAGTTTGACGAGGGTAAGTATTTTATATTATGATTGCCGGTTGGTTTATTCTATAGGGTTTTCCCATACACCTAATATATTATATAAAATAGTGTTTTAATTGTCCTACCATTTAATATACATAAGAAACCATATCATATTGTTTCATGTTTGTATGCTTATATTTTGAAACAGTTGTATTTATAAAATACTATAATATAAATTAATTGTTGTACGCTACTTTTTCAGTAGGTATTAATTAATTGTATTTAATATTACCACACAAAAGTTTATTTTAGTTAAATTTACTGAACATTGTTTGTCATTATATTTAAATAAAATAATATTACAGTTATATTTACCTATATGTAAATAAGTAAGTTTAAAAAGATGTAACCTAGAGCACTGTAAAGTATAAACATTTATTTTAATTATTTTGAGCAAATTAAAAGGTTTTGTATAAAATATTTGATTTTTTTTTTTAATTAAGAATATAAAAATCCTACTTATAAATAAGTTAAAAAATGTATACAAATTATTCTTATATGTTCAATTATAAATATTATGAAGCAAATAGATAAAATAAATTTAAATAATAATTTACAAATCCATATTAAAATATATTTTAAACTACTTAATTTACACGTTTTTTAGTTTTAGAACTTATAAAATGTCAACCTTTGTGATTCGTTTGTTGTATAATGTACGTTTATTATAATTTCAATTATATATTATCAGGACTCTGGAATTTTAGATTATACCAGAAAATGAATTATCCCCAGTAGTAAGAAATATAGGTATATCACTCTTCAAAAACTATCAAGTGGTCACTGGTTTTCTTTTTTATTTACTTTTAAGGTGTAGCAGTACCATACAGTGTCACTCGGTATCTATTGCGTTCGTCATTTTCCCAACAGTGCATTAAAATATGGAAGTTGTTGTGGTACCACATTGGTTTCATATAAAGGGTTAAATCAGTTGTTTTAACATTGTATACTGACAGGTGAAAACCACTAGTTGCGTCTTTAAACTTTAAATGATATTATAACACGCAAAGAAAATTTATGAAGTGAAAAACAAGCACTTGTTCTATTAATAAGAGAAAAAAAGTTAATACCGTTGTTATTGTTTTAGATAAGCTTAAAATGTATAAATATATTGTTAAATATGAAATTCTGTAGTTCTGTATATGGAATGAATTAGTTGCAATAATAATGAAGTATATATAAGAAAAAAATAGGTCTTTAATTGATTTAAAAAAAAAGATATCTTTGTGATGATATATTGATGATTAACACACAACCTGCTGGACCCTGGACCTTCTTACAAAAATACGTCCTTTTTGAAAATGTTTTCACATATATCTATATAGATTATTTTAAATAAAAGTCGTTATCTTAAAGTCACATATTCTGATTTCGACAATAGCCTAATAATCTGTTCTTCTATTAACTAATTATTATACATTTTCTATCACGATTTTAAACGCCTCCTTTTGTGATGGTTTTGCTTTTTAAAAATAATTTTTATCGTTTACTTTTGTAAATAGTTACTAAATATTTCATATTTTACAATTTAAAAAAAAAAATAATAGACAGCATTTTAAATATAATTTTACAACAGATTTTTTTTGTTAAATTCGTTTGAATAATTATTTTTTTGAAGGGTATTTTGTGCTTAAAACATAGTAAACATCGTATCGTTTTAAATGCAGTAAGTTGGCAAACAAACGAGGGAAAGGAGAAATCGTTTTGAAATCCTATGTTTGCATGACCTCACTTGGATTCTCGTGATGGCAACCAATCATGTTATACCTTGTCACTATTAATTCACTTATGTTCAGATATGGTGTGCCTACTTTTGATGGAAAGGGGAGAAATAATAAAATGAATAAGGTTAAAAAAAACCATACACGTCTATTATAATAAAACATATACACACACATACATAATATGTGACCTTTCTGCGATATCGCCAAAATACCTCGTCTATTTGTTTAAATTGTTACCGTGACATAACACATATACACATTTTTTTGGCAGGATTTTTGTATTTGAATAATACATAAACAAAGAAAAACGCCAGAAGACAGTTTTAAAGAAGGGACAATAAATGTACAATAAATAAGGCAATAAAATGAATGATTTAAAAATTTCACAGTTAGATGCTTTTTTCTCTTTATTTTGCAATATTTCTTTGTAATTTTTACTTATTTCATCCTAGGAAACATAGTACTATGAATTGTACCTATTATACAAATAATAACCATAGGGTTGTTTAAAGATTAGTTTTTTATAAAAAATAAAGTAGGTAACATTGACAGTTGAAAATATTAGTAATTAATATATAATATCGTTTTAAAATGTTTTAAATTGTTGTATTATGTATACTCTGTGTTTGGTGTATATATTTTGGTATTTATACTTTATTTAAAATTGTTTGAAGATATTTTTTTTTAAATCACTTTAATCTAGGTATTTGCAATACCTATCTGATAAACAAAACAGAGGGTTACTTTAAATAATGATATTTACTTGTTCGAATATTATAAACTCTGAAATATAATATAAATACTGGCATAGTAATATCGTTATTACGTTTTTATATATATATTTTTGTCATATTACATATGTTTAAACCTTAGTAACGTAAATTGAACAAATAATATTTTTAATCAATATAAAAATGAATGCCAAGAATAATAAGTTGAATTTTATGCGTTTAGGCAAAAGTTTAGAGTCTTCATTATACCCATCTTTGGTCCGTGTGCTTAGTGAGGCACATAAAGCGGATGCTATAAGTTATAATCATAAGTTTCAAAAAATTTTCATGAATAGACTAGCTGAAGATTTATGGTATAATAATCCGTTGTATCCAGAACGCGAAAGGACATCGGTTTGTAGTATGCCGTTTGCTGTGGTTAGTAATGACTTATTACAAACATCACATACATTTTCTTGGGGTATATCACGAGATCAAGCGGCTACTATTATACAGGTTACATATTGTATTCAGTTTTTAGTTTATAAGTCTTAAATTAAAATCTGCATTAAGGCTTAAGCAAATAACAGTTATAAAATTAAAATTAATTATATAAACAAATTACGAAAATAATATACCTTATTATTTTCAAATCGTATATTAACAAAGTCTATGAAATTCGAAGTTTGTATGAAACTAATACAAAACTATTTAAAATTAGTTGTAAATTTTTAAATGTTAATCGAACTTACATATAAACAATATCTTTTTTTCTGATAACAAATAATAACTACTCAAGATATTTGAATAATTTTTACTAGAAATATTGTTGATAAATACTAAATAAGGTAAAAATCTTAATCATAATTAACATTTAATATATTATAATATAGGTAACTCAAAATACAAAAATGTTTGTATAATAAGAGCCAGGAAGGTATAATAAATTATAGTAACTAAACAAAACTACGTAGTATTGTATCAGGGAAAATTTAGTTTGTTTCTAACTAAATAATATTGTTTTGGAATATTTATACTTGTATGTTTGCCAGAAAAGAATTATTACAAAAGGAAAAATAATAAACAAATTCATAAACAATACGCCAATAGCACATTATAATTATATTTTATTTTTGTTTGGCGTAGAATAATTGATTAATTTTCGAATTCATTTTTCACTTTTTCTCTAAAGTCAAATTTATCAAAAGAATGATAAACTGTTTTTTCAGTCAGCGTATCGTGCACATATAGTCCGGATACAGCCTGACGTGGCGGAAATGAGGGCTTTCTGGCGAGCTCTGACGACCAAAGGCCGCAAGTAGACGTGTTGAAGTAGTGGCTTTTGCCTTTTGTCAACTACTCCAATCAAAAAGAATGAATTTAACTGTGAAATTTTTTTTAGCTATTATAATGTTTTGTACACATAACGCAACAATGTTTTCGATTTTTCGAATCATTACCGTCGACATGCAAGTAATATATATCTCCCCTTGGTATACTACGAAAAATATTATCATTTTTTTTTTGTCTAAAGTTTTTGCTGATTCTCCCTTTCGACTGAATGTATGGTTTTCCCCTTTAGATATTATGTTGACCTTTTATTTTCATTCACTGAACTACCAATAGGTCTTACAACAATAACGGTCACTCGGGACTCCAAAGGTGTATCATTGCACAAGGACAGTGTAGATGATTCGTTATACCTATGTTCATTGTCCATAGAGTGTAATATAGCATATTATAGTCAATAGAACATAACATAATAATGTAATTTTATATTAAAAACGTTACCAAAAACTTAAAATTATAATAAGCATAAATGCATAATAATAATAGTAAAAAAAATATAAGTAAAAATCGTATAAAAAAACAAATTTATACAAAAAAAGATTCTTGATATTATAATCAAATAATCGAACAACGATTTATTGGTAATTTATTACTAAACATCTTAGATAGTCAGATCTTGCTCAATCGGTTAAACATATCTGGGTTTCTCGGAAAACCTTAATTTTACCATCAAACTACTCCCTTATATAATTGTATTATTGCACAATAAATAATTTAACCTATATTTTAATTTTTAATTTCACCCTCTAACCTAACCTGAAAAAAAAATTATTGTAATATTCATTTTTAAATCTTCTATTAATACATTATTATTGAGTATTTGTCTTTAACACTCATGTTTGCATCTCACTTAGACAGATTTACATACAAAACAACTAACTGAAACCATACATTTTATTTTATTTTGGTAACATTAATTTATTGTTTTGTTTAGTAATTCAAATTTTGTATGGGTACTTAAAGTTATTGTGAGACAATCATCAACAAAATAATATGCCAGTTACTCAGTTGAAATACGATTGATGTTTATAAGTAATCAAGACTACTTTTTTTTTATTTCAGTTACCATTTTTAGTATGGATTATGAACAATTTCTAAAAAAACTATACTAATTTCATATAAAAACACCAAGTGCAATTGACCCATTTTTATATTATAGTTATAAACACATTATTTTGCAAAATAAAAATGAGTTTGTTTTAAATAATTTTTTCACAAATCAATAAATGTTTTGATATTATATAGTCTTATAATTTTAATAACAAGTAAATTATTTATTAGTTTTGAATTTTATTGTTAATTAATGTTCTTAATTCAAGTAGGTAATATATTTTACTTGTTTCCAAAGAGTAAAATATACTTATTAAAATTAGTTATTTTACTGTTTTATTTTCTTTCACACGAATTGTATGGAATTTAGTTATTAATTAATAAAAATAATAAAATACAATTTCGAACCGAACAAATCAAACAGTTTGTAACTATCTACACATAGAATTTTATAACCATGTTATGTTATTATTACGCCATGTATGGCGATTATATTGATCATGTACAGTCAAATATATTGGGTTAATATAAAATTATAAACACTCTTCAACAAGCTTAATTATTCTTCTACGCAGTTATAGTAGGTAGGTGCATAGGTACTTACATATTACTATAGATATTTAAAATTAAATGCATTATATATACTTATATATATATATATACGCTACTTAGAAGTTGAATTATGTTTGTTTATTATCGTATGTTTTCTCTCACATATTATATAATATTATGGCGGACGGTGTTAAATTGATATTAATTACATGTTTCACGAGTGTGTATGTCTATCTTATTGTGTATCTCATATAAGATAGATTGGCATTAGGTTGCAGTATCGTATATAGGATTTAATTTCAGGTGGGGAGGGGGGGGGTTGAAACTAAACACTCCGCCCTGTATACACCACTGTTAGGTTATGTGTATTAACTCTGGTATTAACCACGTGATGGATTAACATAAAATAGTATAATAATGTGCATTTTAAACTAATATATAAAAAACAATAATTCATGGTTTTTATAGTATCAAATCTAAAAAAATAAAAAAATACAGAATTCTCGCGATTTCAATCTGAGGTAAATGCAATAGTGTAATAATATTGACGGGCATTACAGGGAGTGGTATAAATATATAATGTTAGACGATTATATATGCGAGACGCGAGTTCCACGGATTTTGGGTAAACAACAAAACGTCAAATGGCGGTGCGTGAGCGGTGTAGTCAGCGGTCGTCGTCGGGAAGGAGAGGACACGCCGCCGTCACGCGACATCGGTGTAATAATTTGGCGGTAGGGGCGGCTTAGCCTTTCGTGGCAATTAACCCTAAATCGCATTATACATCCACCTACCCTCTCAACCAACCACCCTCGTCACCACGTCCGGCATAGTATATATCTATATTGTATTTACATGTCGGCTCGAGTGCTGCCGTAACAAATCATCTCGTCCACTGTACCAATTCCTTCCTTAGACTCGACGCACTCGAGCCAATTTTTTCTATTTTTCATTCGTAGTATTACCATTGAAACATAAAATCTTCTCTTGAATTGGCGAAAGCTTGTTATTATAAATGATGGTAATGATGGTGTCCGTGAAATATAAATACCTGAGTGTAAATATGGTTTTCAAATTATAATTTATTACATCTATCTACAACTTGGAGAATTATTCTGACCGTGGGTAAAGGATTTAGTGGGTTATGTTAATTTTTTAATCGCCGAGAATTCGTGGAAATAGCTGTATTCCTACATGATTAAAAACCTGTTAACATTAAAATTGTTTAACAAAAACCGACTAAATTTAATTAAGCTAATCGTCCGTGATATAATCACAACTTGCTGCAAAACTAATTTTTTGATAAATACATACGTTTATACAATATATTCAGGTATTCTATTACAATATTGATAATAATAATATTCAGATTTTGATCCTGCCTCTCATTTAGTTTTAAACGGACACAGATTTTTTCGTTGTTTTGAGTTTTTTTTTTTTACTCTGGCAATGTATCTATAATAATATATAATATATATATAATCGATTAAGTAAGACGACGAGCTCACATTTTGGTACGGTTCTCATTACACATTTGTTTATATTGATTAAACGTAGATGATTCAATCCCAATAGTTTGAAATTTGAAATTTCTCATTTCTATTCTTACTGTAAGAATTTACGAGAAAGTAATAATTAATTACGCTGGTCAAAATATTTTAGCTTTTTTACTTTTTAATTAATTAAAATTAATTTGCATTTTAAATACTCTAAAATATATGTGATTGGTATTGATTTTCTTTATGAAATTGTTAATTTTATCTTGCTATTATTCAGAAAGTAGTATTTAAACGTATAGTGGATAATTTCAGCAAAACTGTTCAGTACACCATTACCTTTATTAAACTTAGTTATCCTTCATTCACTCAGACTCATTTACATTTTTTAAAAAATAATTTAATTTTTATAAATAATTATATTTGAAGTTGAAATGAGTCAAACAATTTTTGACCAATTTATAAAAAAGTGTATTGTTAACTATTCAGTAACTTAATTTAATTTAATATTGTAAGTAGGTTTAGTTAAGTATAATATTATAAGGTGTACTTCCTAGTTTCTACTAATTTAAAGTGAAAAAATGTCGATTTATCAATTATTATGTAGTTTGTATCTCTTATTGTTTTCAAAAAAAAAAAAAATTTGAAAGTTATAAAAATTATTTAAAAGTTTTTTATGAGTAACTTTTACTATCTTTCTATTGGTAATCATATATTATTAAACCGGTGCCCGATAGTATACTCAATAAGGTTTGTCAGTGGTATTGAAAAAATCTTGTGAATTATGAATAGTTGATAGAAAGTTCTAGTGTAATATGAATTTAATTGATTCAAAGGTTTAACAAAAAAGACATTTATACTGTGGTATTTAAAATTATTCACGTTCAGTGATTTCCGCTTGGGATTAATAGGTAATAATATATTATGTTTATATTTTATTATGTGCATAATATTGGCCGTACACCAACTATAGTTATCGAATCATTGAAATAAAAAATCTTCCTGTCGCTGACTGCCAATAGACAAACCACATCATTTATAATGTATTTTTATTTTTGAATTCTTCGGTAACATTATAAATCCGGATTCACATTATTTCGTTAAATCGGACATAATTTTTTCA